AAAGGAAAAGAAACATTTACGGAACAGTGCTTTCAAACACGAGCTCATTTAGTCCTTTTGATACAGCGAAAAGGGTCTCTTGATCCTCATCTTAAAAATGGAGAAACCAAACGCCCTAAGAGGTGAAGAACTTTGCCCCAATTCACCAGCTGATAAGGGATAGAGCCCATGACATTTCTGCTACAGCCTGTTCCCATCTGCCAACTAAGAAAAAGGGGCAGAAACTAGGGACAATGACTCCAAGAACTTTGTTTTCAAGCCTTTGTAAATACTACTCAGTGTCTGTCATCTTGCTCTTTCTTGTTTTTCTCCAGTGATTAACAGTTAATATCTTCAAATAAAAAAGGGTCTTTGTGTTTTCAGAGGCAGAAGGAAAAGCTTGCTGGGGTAGCCAGTCTTGGGGACAGAGGGTGCTCCAGCGCACAATAGGAAGAGGGAAGCAGAAAGGAAAGAGAGCAGGCAGAGTCCTGGGTCCACTCAGACCCTCAGACCCTCAGACCCGGTGCTGCGTGGGACTCCTCCCAGGGGCCTTAGTGCAGCAGGGGCTTCCTGGCAGGCCTTGCCTTGCAGGGTTGTTAAGTTTTTTCAATCCCAAGTGACAGGCTTCCTTCTCTCCCAGCTTGCCAGCCTTTGCAGCCTGAGCCTCTTGGTGCTGTGAAATAGCACGATAGTCCTTTCGCCTTCCCTCCACCAGCTCTACCTCTGCCCCAGCCTCCTTCACTTACAGTGGAGGTCCAGGTGTCCAGATGTGGTCTTGCTTGGTCCTTGCTGACCCACCTCAGCCTCCTTTCTTCCCCCATAATCCCCTACTGATTTTCTCCCTCTGCAGGAAAGGAAAGGGAAAGAACAAAAGGCTGTAGCTGAAGTTGGATGGAGAGACATAATGGAGCTAAGGAAAGTTGAGTGTCCTCTAAAACTCTGGGCCTCATCATTTCCATCATCATCATGGTTACTGATCACGTTTACTGAGCTATTACCATGGGCCAGGCATCCTCTCTCTCAGCACGCAAGAATGTCCCAGAGTCCCAGGTCACATGGGCAATCTGTGGCCATGCCAGCCCTGCAGTGTGCCTCCAGAGCTGTGCCAGAACCCCCATGGTGGGGCATCCTGCCTCCCATGGTCCTGTCCCAAAGGAGGACCATTTGTCCTATGGCCATGGGAGCCTTGAAGCCCACCCAATTAATACAAGCTTCCTCACCTTTGCTGCTCCAGCATTTGACTCCCTGTCAGAGGCACATCCTTTTATTGGCCTGGATTCGCTGACATGATGTTTTCATCCCTGCTTCAGGCTCAGTGAAGTGTCTGTCCCAGGTAGGAATCATGACACCAGGTCCTCATGTCCCCACTTGCTGGGATGATCTGAGTTGGGAGTTGAAAGGCACCATCCCAGCTAACCCCATGCCTGCTCCGTCCCTTTGTGGAGGGATGACTGCCCCTTCCCTCTTGAGACACTTGAATGGCATGGATGTATCTGCAAATATCCTGCTCAGGGTTATTGTACACTTATAGGCAGCCAGCGAACAGGCCACTGTATGTACTGATGATGGCCCAGGTTTCACGCTGAAAAAGTGTCCCACTGCTCCCAACCAGGCTCTCGCACCCCAGGGTCCATGGCATCCGCTGAGGGACTCTGCCCAGAGTGGGGCCATGGCAGGCCTCAGCCTCTGAACTCCACCAGCAGACAGGCAGCTTCTCTGCCAGCAGCTCCCCATCTTGGAGACCCAGAGGTTGAAAAGGGCTAGGAATCCAGCCTGGGAGGATCCCAGACTAGAGAGAAGAGCAGGAGATCCCAGGTTACTAATTCAGGACCTTGTTCATCATCTGATCCTCAATGTCAGTGCAACGCTGGGTACAGAAAAGGGGCCCATAAACCTTCAAGGCTGTCTCCCTGCACAGGACCAGACGGAGTGGGCTCAGTCACAGAGGCGTAGATGTGCTGCCATAGGGCCTAAACCTGGAAAGAACCCATCAGGTCCAAGGATCTCTGAATGGAGTGCTTTGAGATGCTGAGGTACCAGATCCTTCTGAGAAAGACCTTCCCAAACCCCTTACTTGCAAATGGAGGCAACTTAGGTGAGTAAGGGCCTCTCCACCCAGAGGCAGAGAAACAGGTCTGCCCCCCACAGAAGACGGCCTTCTCATTTGCAGTCACTGTCTGCCATTCGCACAGCCTGGCTCACAGCAGCCACACACACATCCAGGCTTCCCGACTCTTCATATTAATAGACCTCCAACTCCATGTTGTCCCCAGCACTCTGTGGGAGAGGTTTTTCAACTCTGCAGACCTGGAAAGGTTAAATGCTCTAACCAGGGATGCAAGCCTGGGCCTCCAATGCCTCCTCCAACACTCTCCATGTCATACTGCATTCACCTTTTACTGAGGGATTCTTGTCTCCTCCGCTAGATTGAAGGCCCTGGGAGGGCAAAGAGGAATCTCATTTCTTTACTTCGTTGATTGTCCTCTATTTACCTCATCACAGATGTGAATATAATCACAGATGGGTATAATTAAATGAACTTCAGCAGAGACTGATTTTTCCTACCAGACCCTCATCACGCCTCCCACTTTTAACCCAAGTATCTTAAAAGCTTATCTTTTCCTTCCCTTTGCCGGCTTCTGTCTTTGGACTCAGTGCACATGTAGAGAGCTTCTGAGTAGAGACAGTCTGAAAAGGGCAAAATAACAATAGCCAGTGGGTCGATAATGGAATGGGAAAGTCTCTAAGTACAGTGGGGGAGGGCACTCATCCTAAAGCCAGCTGGAAAGAGATGGGGGGGTGGGGGTGGGCAGAAGCCTCCTGCGGAGCCGGGCTTGCTTTGAGGCGATGCAGGTGGCTCATCTGGTGGGTGGAGGTGGGAGGGAACAGTCGGTCAAAGGTTCTGCTTTCTGCTTTTGTTCTGTCTGGGCCAGTGCCCACCCTGAAGCTCCTGTTCCCTACAAAACTAGCTGGCTGGACCCTCACTGTGGAATATGAAGTGAGGCACCTACCTGCAAGGGACTGCTTTCGGCTGGGCTAGTATGCAGAGCCCTCTAACCCTGCTAACAGTGCTTCATTACATCAGGCCTCTGCCACCACGCCTCCTCCCATAACAGTATATGATTGTTCCTCTCTGTTTAGACTCTTTCCGGCTGGTATTGATTGTTGCTTTTATTGGCAAACAGTATACCAAATAAAAATAAACACAAGTATTTGTGCAGAGAGAGATTAAAGGGGATTCTCTGTCTCCAGGGCTGGGAAAAAACTTGCTCCGAGACCCAGTGGTCAACGTGGTCCCTGAGTCTTCCCTCAGCGCACCTCTGCAATTATGCTAGGGATGTTTGTTTGTCTCCTTCCCCCTACAGGGCCGGCAGCTGCGGGCTTCCCCACACACCCTGAGTTTTTGGCACTTAATTCATAGTAATTCATAGCTGCCAACTGACACGCCGGTAGGGTCGTCCAGGAAGCAGTCATCTCAGGGCTAGGCTGGGGCCGCTCCTCTCGGCTTGTTCCCACATGCGGCTGCCCCAGATGGCCAGTCACCCCCACAATTTGGGGTTAGGGGTTTGGTCCCGGAAGGGCAGGCAACAGCAACAACAACAACAACAACAACAACAACAGCTACATAGCCAAAGAACATTTAGAGTTGTCCTGTCGTGTTTAACACCTAGGCCACAGGCTTAGTGAAGTGGTGCTGTGGTACAATTCTTACTCTCATTTTACAGATGTAGAAACTGGGGTTGAGAGACCTTCGAACTTGCCTTCCCAAAGTCACACAAGCCTGCCCCTAAGATGACGATCTCTAAGGACCCCGATCTCTAAGGACCCTGATGTGTGCCTAGACTCAATTTCTTCATCTGTAATATGGAAATAATAACACTACCTCTTAGAGTTGTTCAGAGGATTAAATATTATGTATGTGTTTGTTTATTGCCTGTTTTCTGCTCTAGACTGTAAACTCCGGCGGGCAGGGACTTTGGCTTATTCACTGCTATATTGTCAAAGTCGGGAACAAGTGCCTAGCACACAGAAGCTCAATATTTGTGTCCTAAATGGAAACGACATGAGATAAGCCAGGCCAGACCCTGGCCCTTCTATCTGCAGGTACATTGTACATCCTCAGGTCCCAGATTGGGGCTGGGAAAAGCCACTGCTGGCCTTGGGACAAGGCCAGCAAAACCCCCAGGAGTGCGGAGGCCAGAAAAGTCTTCAAGGCACTGGCTGCAATGCCGGTGGACTTGCAGGCCTCCCGCAGGCCTCAGCCCTCGGGTTCCTCTTTTCTTTTCTTATATCAGGAAAAGCATTTTCCTCGCCGAATCACAACGTGGTGCGGCTTCTGAGGTTCCTGCAGAGAAGGGCCAGCCGCCCCGAGCTGCAGACTTCTGCGGAAGGGGAACGGGCAGAGCACGCCAGGCCCGCCCAGGCTGCGGACGAGGGACGGAGCGGCCCCGAGAGCGAGTCCGGGCGCAGGAGGGGGCGGGGC